CTGATTTTACTTTTTTTTTTTTTCGTTGGGTTTTCTTACGGTAGTTTCTCCCCATGATTACTGTTTAGTGTTTTATTTGTTTAATTATCGTTATATTTAGCAACTGTACTTTGAAAATGTATAAAGACTGATGTAAATTCATTTTATTCTGTTTTAGATACTGAAGATGGAATCTGATAGAATTTGAAAATGTTTATCCATGTCCCCTTTTTGTCAATAAACAATGTTGTATATCATAAGTGTCGTAATCTTGTTTATAATAGAAGATAAGTTCTCTATCATTTTTTCAATTCACAAATGTTATTTTGCCCTCACAATAAGACAAAATGGCCACGGCAAGTAACGAGTTAAAAGTAGCTAACAACCTCTAGTGACACAAAAGGTATTTTCCTGTAATCAAAAGTTCATTTTTAAAATATTTTCATGTTTATTATAAAATAATGTAAAAAATGTTTTCAATTGCTAGTTTTTGTAACTATTATTTTTCAGTTTATTTATGAATAATACAACATTATCCATAAAAGAATTATCATTATTACAAGCTATTAGAAGTATTTTCAGCTGAGATGTACTGATGCCTTTTAACATCATACATGGAATAACACTATTGGGGGTGGTTAGACCGAGGATGGGAAAATTAAATTCCCTTCTTTTATCAAAAATAGTCAGCTTTGCTTTGCCTTCTATTAAGTTAATGTCCAAATCTAAATAGTTAGCATGAACATCATTACTATTGCTTTTTTTGTTACAAATTCTTTTGGATATATTAAATTTGGTGTAAAATTCAAGTTATTTATGGGGATTTTAGTGCTTATTTTATATTAAGTTTATTATTGTTTTATAATGCTGATTTTAATCATCTGCTAACCTATTAACAGTTGATGTAATTAATAGCATTGAAGGTATTTGTTTCATTATATATGTATATCTGCAAGTGCTATGAGATTCAGGATAGTTGAAATCTACACACTGCTAAAGTAAAGATTTTGAGCATGAAATTATTCTTACATTCTCCACACATGTAGGTAGGTCTTTAACTCTGACAAAATGAATGATTTTGATGTACAGTCAATAGCATCTGTACTATGACACAACACTCCAAATAAATGAATATACATATATATCTGCAAGTGCTATGAGATTCAGGATAGTTGAAATTTACACACTGCTAAAGTAAAGATTGAGAGCATGACATTGTTCTTCCATTCTCTGTATGTGTAGGTCTTTAAATCGGACAAAATGAATGGTTTTGATGTGCAGACAATAGCTGAAGCAATGGTAGAGCAAAGTGCAGAGGTGCCTGTGACTCCTAAGACCCCAAGAGCTAAAAGGTAAGTTGGAATTCCAGAAAGAAAAGAAAATGCTTGTTTTGTTTGTGGTAAAGATTTACTTATGGATATTTCAGTGGATTATATTGTAACGATTGAATTTTAACATATACATGTGACAGTTCATTATGGAATAAACAGTTGTTATTATTCATATATTTATGAACTACAAGTCTGAATGAATAACATTTTTAACAAGTATTTCATCAAGAGGTTATACTTTTTTTATTGGTATTATTTATCTCATTGTGCAAAAAATTAATTTTTTTAGTTAAGCTTTACTTTTATCTTGTCCAAGTTTTCAAGTATAATACTAAACATTTGGGTGTTATATTTTTATGTTGATAGAATAATGAGATGTTATATAATAAAATTAAATTTATAATTTCAGTATATAGATGTAAGTATTTGATAAATTGATTTAACTATTTGTAGACAGTTTGCTGGTTCAGCATCTCCAATGTGCTTAATATAACTGTTGTTGTAAAAGTACTCAATAAACTCAACAGTAGTGAGTTCCTGTTGGTCTTATTAGATTTATTGGTTGTGGCATCTTGTAATAACTTGAAAAAATATTTGGAACAAAGTTGTATTTCAAGCACTATCTTTTGTATTTCAAGTTGCGTATATATATATATATATATATGTATGTGTATACTTATCGAAGTTTTTGTTTTACTAGTTTGCTATAACTTGCTAGTCTATACTTCTTAAAGGAGCATTTTAGCTATTTAAAATTCAGTTAATTTGTTGTCTGCAGACTTATCTTTAGCTTCATTCACTTACCATACAAAGCATTAGGAGTAATAGTCTAATCACATTGAGAAAGTGAATCTCTAATTGGAATTGGAAGCTGTTTCTTGCCCAGTCTGACTGCTGAATAGTTTGTAGCATAATCCATGTTTTCATAAATATTAGTAATAAAATCCTTTGCACCAGGTTGTTGTTGTTGTTGCCAGTTTGACTCATGTTTTACCTTTTGAAAGTGTCATTTAGAGTACAGCAATGTTTTTGTGTAAAGTGACACTACTTTTTGAAGAAATACGAGAAATAAAGCGTATCAAGGGCTTTTGAATTAGCCAGTAAGTACTGAGTCAATCTTACTAGCTTATGGTTATTAGCCATTGTAAAACTTTGATAGCACTATTCAGTTTAAATGCTTCTATTCAAACCCGAATTCATGCAATTGATGAGAATTCAACATTTAGTTGTAGATAAAAGTTATTCTTAGAAAGATTTAGCTACTTATCTAGTGATTTTTTGTACGGTTTTTATATTCTTCCCTACATTGTTTCTGTGCTTTTTGGCATTGCCATCCATACATTGTGATCAAGGATAACAGTTTTGTATGACAAAAGCAAGTATTAAAAACTCCAATTCAGTTCCACCTGTAAGTCATGTAATAGGATAAATACCAATGAGCTCATGGCCCAGCCTTATTTGAAAATAGTAATCTTGATAGGGTGTAATCAGCCCAAATGCTATGAAAAAACTGACAGAAATTTATCATTTCATCTGATATAGTATTTCTCAACTTGTTGGTCACAGCTCACTGGTGGGCTGCAAAGCAATTTGAGGAAGGCTGCAGAAAGGTTTAAGATTAGATGACAATATTTAAAAAAATGGTGCAATATAGAAAAAGTATAATGAAAACTATGTAATACATTGCAAAATGCTAACTAGTAATTAATGTCGTGCGATTGAACCCAGCATAGCAAATATGAAACAGTAATGCCTTTGTGATGTACTTTGATAATTTTCTGAGGTGGGTCATGGTACAGATGGGACATGTTACAGAAAAGGTTGAGAAACATTTATCTGATATGTATTCAATTTTTTAGTTTGTCATGCAGTGTTAAAGTATAATTCTATTAATACACTTCCAGAAGACTTGTACAGTCCTCCCAAACTATCAGGCCCAGTTGTGTAGGGTAATACAAGGTCACATCAATTTTGGTGCAAGTTTGCTTAGAAAAGTAGAAGTTACCAATCATCATCAACAGTGTAGACCAACTATCAATTTGTTGATGATCTTATTTGACAACATCACCTGTTCTTGATGTGTGTATCCATTGGTTGTCTCACAGTCTTCTCCATAGAAAAGCCTCTATAACTCAGCTAGATAGATCAAGCAAATATCACTTAGCAGCTTGGAAAGTAAAAGTTGTAACATCATTTCAGCTGTTGATCTCTCAACCAACTAACTGCACAATAACCAACAGCTATCACATAATGTTCATCTACTTGCCATTACTCATTGTGTATGTATTTCATTACTATAGGTGAACAATCATTTCCATTATACAAATTCAAGTTCAAGAGATATAAACCCTCAACTCAAATTAAACAGGTCTCTGTATCACCATTGAAATTAGTATAACCTCACCTCAGGACAGCATGACACAGAAGCAGAGTCAAATAAGTATATGCTCTATTGAATAGATGTTTTGGTTTGTAACCTTTGTCTGAACCTTCTTACATCTGCTCTACAAAGATGTCACCTGCATAATAATTTAGAAAAAAAAGTGCTTATACCTATTTTTTTTTACTTGTTTAAGAATGGAATCTTACAGTTTTCTTAAAATCTCACTATTAACCACTAATTGCTTACAAGAAATAGTAACTTAGGTTTAACCCTTGAAAAATTATATGGCCAAAGTAAACAGAACATTGTGTTGTATTATTTTTAAAATAAATTAAATTGCAAGCTTAGCAATTAAATCTGCTGCCATACTTCTTGTCAGCCTAGCAAAGGAGAATGAGAATATGTTTTTTGAACATGAGAGAGAATATAATATAGAAATTTTCTATATGGAGCAAGAAGAGAGAGCAACTGCATATAAACTAATAGAAAGATCTTGACCATACAAAGAATATAATGCAATTCTACTCTGATAACCCAATTCCTGAGCAGGAAAAATAAAGAATTGGTTGTTTTTCACATTTAATAGGCTTTTGGTTTGTTTTCAGTACGTATGACTACTTGCTGATTTGTTGAACAGTTTTATTTGTGACAAAGAACCATTTCCTCTATTCTAGGTATTATTTGAGTATTAGTTTATTCTGAATCTTAAGCACCCCACCACAATCACCAAAAAAAAAGTCACCATTAGTCCTACCACAGCTCACTTACTATTCTAACCATTGCTAATTATGATACATTCTGTAAACATCACAGTTCACTCACTCTTTCAATCTTCACTCAGTGTGTTATGTTTTGTAGGACAATACAGTTCACCATTGACCATTATGTTACATTTTGTAAACATCACATCTCACTTGCTATTCTGACCGTTGTTCAGTATGACATATTTTGTAGGACATCCTTGTTACTCACTGTTAGATTGGGTTAAATAGAAAGATATATTCACTTCTATGTTTAACTATGAATTTACCAAGTAACTTACTAAAGACAGATATAACAGAATGATTAGTATAAACAAACTTAAAGCATTAAATGATAGTGGAATATGAATATAATCCAATACTCATCAAAACCATGGTACCTAGTGGCCCTTGTAATTATCATTCAATATGATAGTGGAATATAATCCAATACTCATCAAAACCATGGTACCTAGTGGACCTTGTAATTATCATTCAATATACTACTCTACTTACATTGTAAAGAATAAAATTTAAAACTAAAAGAGGCAAATTCTGGCATACATATCTATGACATGAAGTTCATATTTTAGTCATATTTGCTGTTATTTATTGTCTGTTACATTTCTCAGTTGTATTTTGTATGCTAAACAAATAAATTACTTTATATATAAGCACAGTGCTGCTTATAAAACTTTGCATGTTAAGTTTGTAGAGTGAAATTAAATCTTAATTGGTGTTCAGTTTTCTTTACATTTACTTATGTAGCTGTTATATAAATATTTGACTATCAGGCGAGATTTTGAGCTGGAGTGGGCAGAACGAATTCAAGAAGAAACAGTGATCAGTAATATAGACCAAGACAGTGTTTACTCTGTGTTTGTATCATATGTGGAGATTTATAATAACTACATCTATGATCTGCTAGAGGATGCACCTATAGATCCTATAAAACCAAAGTAAGAACATTTATATTTTATTTTATTGGAATAGCATGTAAAACTTTTTCAAAATTGAAGTTTTAAAATTAAGACTTAAAAGTGAATTTTGAATTGGATTCCTGTTTGTTAATATACATTTTTATAAAATGAAATAATTTTTTATTTTAATGTATGTTGCTCTAACAAAGCAATATATTGAATCACCTCGTAAGTTCTACATTAAATTGCTTAACTGAAAGAATAATAATTTTTCAATCGTGAATTCTGTTAACAGGACAAACTAGCATTGTATAACTGAAACATTAGTAAAGTTAAACTGTATTACCAGTTATTTTTGAACTAATATGTTGATTCCAATACTGTATAAAGTTTTTTAAAGTTAAGTGTTGAAATAAAGATTTGTTAAAATAGTACAAGTAAATGTTTGATTGATTAGTTCAAAGTATGATCAATCAGATTACAAACATTAAATTTCACATGCCATTGTTACATACCTTATTCAGTTTATAAGCAGTTGAACTGTATAACTTACTCTTTGCAATGGGCTAATAACATGTATTTCAGGATTTGCTTTTTCTGTAAGTGATATGAATGAATATACTTGTATTTTTATAGATTTTTTGTAGTAAATAAAGTTTTCCTTTATTAGAAAATTTGACAAATAAAATCAGAATCTTTTTGTGTTTGCAGTAAGTTTGAATAAATTCAAATTGTCAGCTAAAATTTCCTTGGTGTACCACAATAAATAGGTAAAGCATTCATGTCATATTTTAGTTTGTATTAATTGCAGTTCATAAAGTGGTTCATAGAAAGTCCTTGAAATTTGGTAAATTAATTTTCAGACCTGGAAAGCCCTTAAAAATGAATGTACTCAAGATTTCTGGAACCAAAAATTCTTCATCAAAATATTTTTATCTATTAATTTTAAAATATTAGCAAATAAAGTATTTCTGTGTTGGTTCCCTGTTTCTCACAATCTATCATCAACTTGTTTAGTTACATGAACAGCAAGTTAATTATCGCAAGCTACTTTCACAATCCTGAATATGTAATAAGTCATTTACTGCCTGGACTGTATGTATTGCAAGTATGTAACTTGTACATCAAAGGGTGATTGAAAATAAAATCATGGAATATTTAATTATTTCTTCCAATAATGATATGTTTTAAGTATAAAACTAATTTTTCTAACATATTTAACATTGTAATGTGAATAGTGCCAAGTTGGGATACATACTGTTCAGTTATTGACTTCACCTTGACATAGTTTGGAACATCAGCTTTAAATTGATAAAGTGCATTTTGTGAATCAAAAGACTTTGTTTGTAATAAAGGTTTTGGATTCTACAGGTATGCAATAGGTGTAAACAATCAGGTACTTAAGTGATTAAATGTTGATAAACAATATTAAAGTTGATTGTAATGTTATTTTGTGCTTGAATGAGAGTGATACATGGCCAAGCTGCTATTTTAGAAGCTGATTCATGGTTTTAGCCATTTCAGTCACGGAGTTACTGGAGTTGCAGTGAAGAAAATTAGAGACATGAATAAATTTTATAAATAGCTGTAGTCAAGTAATTTCTGAGCCAAGATAAACTACTAAATGGTACAGAATGAAACAGTGAACATGAAATGTTTTAAGCTTTGTAACATATTAGGCTGCTGATTTTGCTTACATCTTAATTTTTATTCTTCTAATATTCTTTTAAGATATATAACATTAATTATTTTGATGTTTAAAATCATAAATAACTATGTTGCTGAATGAAACTGACATGATATGTACTAATAACTAATTTATGGTTGACAGTGTGAGGAATAGAAAAACATTTGTTTCATTTTATAGTTAATACACAAAGCAGTTTCATCTGTTTTAACACATTCACTGCCATGTGACCCACTGGTGAATCACATATAACAAGTGGCTTCAATGAGTAAATTAAACATAAAAAATATTAGACACCTGGGTTAAGTAATAAAAGAAAAAGTGTGGTTGGCACTTGGGTAGGAATTATTAACACTACTGGTGGCAGTGATTATGTTAATATTTGGGTATAGATATGTATACTTTAAAAATTCCTGTTTTAATTTCTTTTTGGTTGTTGAGCTTATATTATCCACTGGCTTTGCAAAGAGTATGCATTTTTGAATTTCATAGAAAACTTGTATGCTCCTTAGGCTACTTTATTGTAATACTTACATTTAATAATGATTGTGTATATTTCCAAATAAAATAAATTTGGTTTTATTACACTAATAATTTCTTTACATTACTATTTTTGGTACTACTAGTTCTGAGCCTTTATTTCATTCAAATTGTGCCACTTTGATGATGGTGATTCACAGAAATTTTAGAAGAATATTTGCATCTAGAGTATAATACTTCAGCCAAGTGTGTAATTAAACTAATAATGAATAAAGTCATTAATTACTCATGTTTTAGTATGTGGATTTGTGATAATATATGTTTGTAAAAATACTTAATTACTTTCAACTTTATATTTTCTATAATGAGATATTCGTATCTAGTAATTTGTTCTTTTTGTAGACCCCCACAATCAAAGATTCTACGAGAAGATTCTAACCGTGATATGTATGTATTTGGAGTTACTGAACTTGAAGTTAAGTCATCAGATGAAGCCTTTGAGGCCTTCTATAAAGGTCAGCAGCGAAGGAGAGTAGCACATACTGCTTTGAATACAGAATCAAGTCGAAGTCACAGTGTGTTTACTATCCGATTAGTCCAGGGTCCCCTAGATCCACAAGGTGCTGAGGTCCTTCAGGTGAGAATACTTTTGAAACAGAGCAATTGTTTTTACAATACACTAAATAATTAATAGTGATTTAATTTTATTTGTACTCCAGAGAACCTTCCAGGTGTCAAGAGCATACCTGTATATAAAATTTACAAAAATATATATATATATACAAGTAAAAATGATAACTTAAAATATTTTAGAATTGATATTTTGTCATTATGTAATATCAATGTAGTATAACTTGCTAAGAAAAATGGGGGAAAAAATGCTCAAACTTTCATTTCTACATAACTCCAAAGAGATATGTTAATAGATATTATTCAAGTTGAAACTGACACTGGACATATAAATTGGTATTTTCTGATCAACACTAAAAATATAATTGAAATCTTAAAACCAAATGGAAGTATTTTAATTATTTATTTTTTTTCACAACATAAAATTAATAGAAATACTAATTATTTTTTAAAGAAGAGATGACATACAGAGTTTGGTAAGTTCATACTAAGCTTCATATAATTTGATTAAAGGTTTCCACCATGAGAAAAAGAAGAAAATTGGGTTATCAATGACATTCTTTCATTTCAGAAAGGGTCAATTTTTGGAACATTATCTTTTATAATAACAAACAGAAGTAGCTTTTACAAAGTGTGTTGATAGTTTCAAGATCTGTTTTATGCTGTAATATGTATTAAAACATAAACATGTCATGCAACTAGTAGCATTTTGATTTATAGTTTAATATAATTTCAATAATTTTGGGCTTTTGGCAAATAAGTCATGTGACTGAGCGAATATAAAACTTGCTGTTTATAAAAGGGTGTATTGATAAAAGCTTCTCTTCATTGTAATTGAATTATTACCCTAAGAGATAAAAAAAAGAAAGATAAAATCATTGTAACAGTATTTGCTGCCTGATGAATTGTGTTTGCCCAAAAAAGTTGCCCAAAAGAAAACTAAATATAGTTTTAACTTAATTGAATAGAGTTGTTTAAACATTTGTTTAACAACAAGTAAAAGCTTGGAATAGTCTATTCTTTCATTGAGGGTGTGTCTGTGGGCCAGACTAGTTTCGGAGAATTCCACTCCTCATCAGTGACCCTGGACACTACAACCAATGAAACTTCAGACCAAACCAAACCGTTTTAGTAGTGAGGTATTGAAAATACGAAGAATTAAATTGTGTCGGAATGCTACAAGTTCTTCAAATACCTATAGAATGATAAGTTTCTTTTTTGTGAGTGTAAAACTTTTAAATACACCTTTACGATAGTTTTAACTTAGTCATACTAATTTATTCTTTATCTAAGTTCCTAAACGAGAGCCTTATTAGGCAATAACTGTGTTAGATTCTAAGTTATAGATAAGACAAATTAGTTATTTTCAATTTCTGACTAATAAATTGAGTTTGAGAATAGTCTGTGAAGAGGACTAAAATATCTTTAGAAACTTTACAATGCATGCTGTGAAAGACCCCACTGATATTTCTTTAACCATAGCAATAAAAAGGTAATTTTTGATCTTATTTTATATTATTTGGCAATATTAGGTTATTAATATGCAGGATGGAATATGTTATATTAAAATGAATTTGAATGAGAAAATCAGCAAGTTATGTGACAACCACAACCATTATAAAATCCTTGTGGAATAGCAGGTATCAGAACTACATTTTTGTCATTGGTGTTTTGAAGGAAGTGCCATGCCACCAAAACTTGATTGCTTTAGGGAAGAGCATGTAATAGTCCTCAATACAAAAATGTTCATACACTCCCATCATAAAATTGTGTTCAAGTTGGGGATTTAGAATTTCTAAGACAGGGTTGCCCCTTCTATTTAATGGCATTGGAAAGCAAAAGAATATAGATGAACTTGAGGAACCAGGACCATCCATTTAGAGACCTGCAACAAGATATACCCCAGCCATGATAAGCAAAACATGGCCAATTGTAACAAGTGAGAATTCATAAAAATGACAAAATCTGTCCACATGTTTCAGTCCAAACAACAGTATACTACATTATCAAGAAGGATCTTAATCTGGGAAAATTATACAAGTCATGTGTACACAAGCTGCTTCCTCAACATGTGTGTTCAACCATTGCATATACCTCAAGCATCTGAAGAATGCAATGGGTAATCATGCTCTTTCATACACAAATATACTGGTCAAGTTGCCAGAAGCAGCCCTTATAGATTTCTGTGCTGTTGGACTGTTGAAGTGGGTACTGAAAAACAATAATCTTCCTACACTAGAGGGGTAATGAAAAGCTGCAGGGAGTAGTAGTAGTGTCCTTTGAACATGATAGCCTTTTGCAATGGAAACTACATTGCAGGGCTATTGCCAAAATGCATGGTTGTCAGGCAGAGCAGGATTAGACATGGTATGGCTTCAAAATTGTTTTAATTTAGTATACTTCTGTCTTTTCTTTTTTTTTACTGGTTAAATATTGAACCTTAAAAGTTCATTTTCTTTTTTCTTGCACATTTTAACAGAGTCAACACTTGCAAATTGACTGCAAAATTATCATTGCATAAAATTCTTTTGGGCAATTTTTTGAATAAAAAAGACTTACTGATATTCATTGTATGAGATAATTTTGGATTATCATGTTTGCTTTAGTAGTCAACAGCCACTGTTGTGGGGGCTTATGAGAAGCAGTTTCTGAACACGTCATGCAAAGAAGCAAGAAATTCTTGCCTATTTGCAAAAATAATGCAGGGCCTATACAAGAAAGTCATATGACAGCAGATTGAAATGAGAATTCCTATCACACTCATAACTAAGAAGAATTAGGTTTTAGTGCTGAAGTGTATGAATATCTTAATAATAGGAAGCACAGTTGATTTTTGGTGTAATAATTTTTCTAGTTTTATTGCTCGTTTCTATTCAGAAAAGCTGTGGCAAATTATACCTAAGCTTTAATATAGATGTGATGCCCCAATTTTGATAATGACAGAGTGAAAAACAGAAACTTTTGTGGATTTAACATGTGTAATACTATTTTTTGTTTCTAAGCTACTTGCAAGTACTTGGCAAGTTTCTTCATGTCACAATATAATAAGAGGGAAGACATGATTTTAAAATAACACCATGAAATTGCCTCCCAGTGGCTCAGTGGTAAGTCTGTAGACTTATATTGCTAAAAATCAGGTTTCAGCATCCGTAGCGGGAGGAGCACAGACAACCCACTGTGTAGGTACTCTCTTTTTTTTTCTTTTTTTTTACACCCGTAGTAAATAAATGTTTGCAGAAAATTTATAGTTATTATACACTGAAGTAAGTCAAGCATGAAAAGTGATATTTGTTTATGTGATTGCTTAACTGTTCAAAATAAGCCTGATAGATGTGTATAAGCATAATTATTTTTTAAGTATACAATATGAAATATGGAAATGCACAAAGAATGAGTAATTGTAAGTAAATATTTAATTTATCGTTAGTACAATACATTATTACAAAAAATACAAAAGAAAAGCAAATATATTGTACAAAGAACTGGTATTATGTATTATCTATTTACAAAATAGTACACCTTGTTTTTGTTCTACTAGAACTTTTTCAATGTTTGATTGTGAAATATTGTTCCAAATGTTTCATATTACTCTCCGCATTTCAGCTATGTTGTTTGATTTACATTGGACTTTTTGTTTCCGTACAAACCAATAATAAATTTCATACTGGGACTTGATGCAGGCTACAAGTGTTTCATCAGCCACTTATTTTCCCTGCCAGGTATTGTTACATTACATATGCTGCCTGTTTAGATCACTCTCTTGCTAGATGATAAATTACTGCCCAACAGGCCTGGTTCCTGAGGGAATGACATTATAGATAAGACTCAACTTTTACTTGTCAGGTGTCAGGGTGACATCAATTTTCTGTATAACACCTTCCTTCAGTTTGGTTTGGTTACCTTTCCTAATCAGTTGTGTTTGGATCGCTACACATACATTGAGGCTACTTTGTGTTAACTTGTATCTTTCTGTTCTTTGGAGGTAACATTTACTCCTAGGCTTACAGCTGTAAGTCATTGGTAAGATCACTTCTGGAGTGTTATATATTGCATAAAGATCCTTCCTTGAGTTACTTAATTTCACTTTTAAAGAATTTTGATTTTTTAGTTCAGCCACTTATATAATCAACTGTTGTAGTTTCATTCACCTATGTTTGGAGTTTCTATATAACTCCTACTGAAACATGATATTTTGGCTCAATCTATCCAGTGAAATAGCTTTCACCAGCCACGACTGATTTCTATATGTTTGTGATGTGTCATTTCTGTCGTGGGAGGCATGAGTGCATCCCCACACTACTGCTGCATATATCATGACTGTAACATAAATCTGACCTTTTG